CACACACACACACACACACACACACACACACACCACCTCATCTGCTCTGTTTCCTTATTTAAGACACCTGGGTCCTTTAGGTCAACACTGAGTCAGGGCATATGAACCCAGGATTGGTTCAGACTCATCTCATACTGGGGCCAGATTAGCTCCATCAGCTCCTCTCAGGTCAAAGCTTTGGCAGAGAACTCTCTCCAGGGAACAGAGCCCCGACTCTCCTCCACCCTACTCCCCCGACCCAGTCCTCTTCTTTGATACCCTAGGCAACAGGACCACTGGGGGGCTCATTAGCCATGCCAGTGACCAGGCTCCACCCCAGACCTGCCCGACTAGAAACACCGCATTTTCACCAGCCTTTGGGGACCTTCCTGATGCACCCCTCAACTTACTTTAATTGCCTTAAACCCTTACTGCTCAGGTGTGGCTGGGGACCAGCGGCACCGGTGTCTCCTGGGATATTTCAGAGTCCATGTCCAACCAGAGTTCTCGGGGGAGGGGGAGCGCGCGCGGGGGGTGGGGGGCTCTCACAAGTTTTGAGGACTGCGTCAGGACACCCTTTGATGAACAGCGGGAGAGTCACCTCGAAGGAGAGGCCCCATAGCCACTCCCCATAGCTCCCCACAGATCTGCTCCCTCCTGATTAGACGGAGATAAGCCTCCCCACCCCCCAACTTTGGTTCCATCACATTAATTTTACAACCCCTCTGGAGCAGAACCAAGGCAAAATTTTATGTGATATGATTACACAAGGTGAATTGTCCTGGATCTGTTTAATGAAACCGATCCTGTGTTTAATGATTCCATGGGGAACTGGCACGGAGAAACTATTAATCAGGGCCTGGTTCCTCCTGCCGACAAGAAGATGAAGCGGACACCTCCATGCTGTGTGCAGCCAGGCACGCCTGCCTGTGTGGCCTTGGCTCCCTTGGGGGGGGTGCTTTATTTCCAGATTTGTGGGTGCTGATCCATTACCAGGAGCCCTGAGCTAGCAGAGGAGGGCTTTTGTTACCATTTCTACTGTTCTTTGCGATGAAGTCATTTAGGAGCTTCGAGAAGTGAAGGGTTGGAGTGTGTGGACAAACGTCTGATACGGAAGAGCTCAGAACCGCTCAGGGTGCGGCTCAGCTTTGGCAGGGAAACTCGGGCCAGTGGGCTGGGGCACAGGGGGTGTCTCGGGAAAAGCTGGAGGCCAGCATCTGCAAGGATTGTCATAAGCAGCGTTTACTCTTCTGCACCTGGAACCTCATCAGGATCTTTGCAAAGCTTATTATCCTAAGAGGTCAGGGATGCCTGCCCTCAAGTCAGTAGAGTGAACCTCAAGGCGCGAGCAAAGAGCACCTCCAAGGTCATCCAGTGCGGGTGGAGAAGAACAGGGTCTCCAGCCCCGGCCCCTGGCTGGGAAGTCATCTGTGGACAGCTCCTGTGTCTCAGGCAGCATCCAGAGGTCAAGGACACAGCAGGTAGAGAAGCAGCTTCCCCAGAATAGGAGGTGCAGGCGATGGGATCGGAAGACACACCAGGCGAGTGTCTTCAGGATGGTCACACATGGCCACACCTGAAGTCTAGGCCTGTGGCGCGCTGGATGACAAGGGCCAGCCTCACCTGGGTTTCTCCTGGGACCATGGCAGCTGTCCTGAGTCACCAAGGATGCTGAGAGGGGACTCAGACGTGGGGACAGGCTGACAAAGGGAAGGAGCCCCTGTGTGTGCTTAAAGTTTCCTAATCATCTAGATACATCTGGCCCCAGCCCATTATACCAGTATGGGCCCAATTAGTCAGCTGCCTTGTGAATAATCTATTTTAAGAATAAAAAAATAACCTGTCGCCAGCATAAATATTTCTCAAGTAGCCGTGGGGTTCCAGGAGGGGACTGGGTGAGAGGCATCTCAGGATGGCTTCCATGGGTTCTGTCAAGAAAAGCAGCCTTTTATCACGGCGCAATTTAGCAGTTGGGATTTCAATTTAGTTCAGTGGCAGTTCCCCCCAGCTCCTGCTGGGTACCAGGCTGTGGGAGGAAGTAGGGATGCGGCTGCTGGTGTCTCCAGAGGATCTGGGCCAGAGTGAGGCAGGCTGGATTGGATGGTGCTTCCCTGCTGTGTGACCTTGAAGAAGTGGCTCCATTCACTGTCTGAGCCTCAGTTTCCTTCCTGGCCCCAGTGCCCAACAGTCGTTTCCTTTCAGGGTGTCTAGGAAGGCTAAGTGAGACAGAAAGGCTCCGTCATCCAGTGAGGGATTAGGAGGTAGGAGGAGTTTCAGGTCCGCAACCTAGCTTGAGGGACTCACCGGTCTGTCATGCATGGCCCACTCTGGACTGGGGGGGCTGCCTCATCAACCATTGAGCCTTTGGGGTTCTCCAGCTGAGTTGGGGCTGATGCTGTTCCCAGCATTCCAGTGCCTACCTTGGGCCGTCTCCCGGCTCCCCTCCCACCTGAGCCTGAGCCTCAGCAGCTCTCCTTGAGACTTGCTTGCTGTACAGCTAACCCAAGGAGTGTTCTCAAGTCAGGCAACCCCAAAGGCACCCTCCCAGTCGGGTGACTTTCTGTCACATGGCAAGATGGCTGATGAGCCCCTACCCCCCCCCCCAAAGAGACCATTTGTGACCATTTCAGTGAAGAGTAGAGAGACCACATGAACAAGACTAACAATCCTGTTCAAAAGACCCCCACGGGCTCAGCCGGCAGTGGAGACAGGCGCGTAATCAGGGTGACCACACAGTCATGACTCACTGTGTGGTCAGGAGGGAGCACTGGAC